ATAACAGTATTGCTTGGGTGGAAGTTGAGCTACAAGGGTGGGTTCAGTTCCAGGCTTGAAGGGTGACTTAAGGCCACAGTCTCAGGGGTTCTACCAGTCTCTATCACACCACCAGTAAGCCTGGTCTTTTTGTTTTTATGATTTTGTGTTTCATTTCACATTTTTCTCCCACTGTATCCAGGACCTTCTATTGTGATCTCTTTCAGAGAGGTAGGTAGAGGTAGCTGGGCACCATCTAGTTTTCTGGTCTAAGGGTTGAGGAGGCTGAGGTTCACGTGGTCTGTTAGTCCTTTGGGCTATTTGTTTCCATGCATCTTTGATTTTCTTCACTTTTCTTTGCTTCGGATGGAGAGATACCAATAGTTTCACCTTAGATGGCTGCTTGTTAGCTTTTAAGACTCCAGTCACTACTCACCACAGTAGGATATAGAACATTATCTTTGTAAACTACATTATTCCTACTGAGTTAGCTGCCCCTCCCCATGTCTATGATCCTAACTTCCAGAACTCAATGACTTTTTCCCTCAGGGTGTTTGGTTATCGCTAAGAAGTTTTCATAACTTTGTTCCCTGGTTGCTCTACTATATACATGTATATATTTACAACCCATAAAAATATGTATGTAGAAATATCCTCTGCCAAACCTATATATGGTCGTGGATGTAAGCCAGAGTGATTTTTAATGCATGTCACTCCTTTGCTCAAAATCTTATAACAATAGTTTGAAGCTCATCAAAATGTTAAAAACCATAAATGCATAATGATACTAAACAACAAAAATAAAAAGTAAACTTGTTGATGACCTTTGAAGAATGCCAAGAAACCATCTCATTTTTATAAAAACTGTTAAAGGAAAGATCAAATATTTATCCTGCCTGTCTCGTACAAGGTGCACATCAAGGAAGCCAAACTGCTAAATAGAGAGCGTTTGTCTTTATAGGAGTATTCCAGCTAATATATGAAGGAGACATGGTAGAATTTTAATATCACCACTTAAAAATCCCTAATTAAATTAATGATTTAGGTAATGGTCACCAATGCCTGCTAAATATTATAAAAAAGGGGGGGGGCATAATTTGCCTTCTTATGGAAAAACACAGCACCACCTATGTCTTGCCAAAAAAACATGAAAACCATGACAGGAATATGAGGGTAGACAGCAAACTACCCATTTCAGGCCACACAGGTAAGATGGAGTCCACACAGAAAGTCTCTTACTTAATGAGTATACAGAGGAGAACCCTGAGGTCAGAGGTGATCTTACCATCCCCCCACCAACCAAGTTTGCTACCAGCAAACATCAGAGAGCTGTTTCCAATGGAGCTACCTCCACAAGGGTAGCCAATGAAACTCAGGAGACCTGGGTCTGAGACAGGAGAGAAGTCAGATCCTGTTACTTCTGACTGAAAACTCAGGGAATTCTGAGGGCCTGTTGTAGTCCTAGCTCTGTGCCTACTCATGACATTCTGTTCCTTCATGTATTTCTCACAACAGGGTTGAGATACACAGAATCAATACCTCCATGACCTTCTTCAGGTTGTTGAAGCTTAGCAAGTTGCAGGAAACAGAAAACAGAATTTTGATGGGGGCACTGACATAAGAGTAGAATTTTGCTACAACCTACCTCCTACCCTGAGCTCCCAATAAGTGGGAGAATAGATGGGTCAAGAGATGAGATGTCAACATGAAATTAAGCAATGTCAGTAGAGTAAAATGTGAAAAATATCTGGGGAAACTTAGCTCATGTTAACACTGAACCCTCTGGAAATCCAGTCTTCTTAGAAAAAGTGTCATTTCCTTCATGTGCATTTATTTGCCTTTCTTTTCTTATCACTTTCTTTGACCCTCAAGAATAATAACATATATGGAAATGACCAGGTGTTGGTGCT